TTAGGTGTTAAGATCTAAGATCTAGCTTAATAAGGGTATTATGGTTAAGATGATGGTGAACATGAGGAGCTTCAGTCTGAGGTAAAGGCCGCGTTTGGAAGATAGCGGATTGAAGATAAATTAGCGGATTGGACTTAATTGAGAGGTTTGACCCGTCAAATCCGCTTTATTGGGTAAATCTGTTTTTTGTGCAGTTGCAAGTTTATTGGCTTTTGCATAATTACTGCCATTGTATTTTGTTATTTATGGATCACTTTATTTGTGATATGTAAAGAACCCTTGTTTTTTGTAATTTTTTATGATTTTTCTGTATTTTTGAGATTTTTTGTAATAAGCTTGAGTAGCAGAAATGGAGGAATTTTAGAGAGAGAAAATGAAAGGGGAGAGGAATAGAGAAGAGAGAGAAAGAGAATATTTTTGTTGTAACTGCTTGAAAAATTCATAGCACATGCTCGTTCCAATATATAGTCCCGCACATGGGAATTACACTAAACCAGATAATTACTAAAAGAAAAAGGTAAATAAGATAAAAGATAAATATAAAGATAAATGGATAATGGGCTTCAACATCTTCAAACCCAAATTGGGCCTTCAGTAACTTGGCCCCGTCTGTTAATCGTGCACGCTCATCATGGGCCCATCTCCCGGTGGATCATCTTCGCGGCCCATCTTCTGAAACGACCCGATAGCAACTGACGCGTCATCTTCTCCTTCTACTGAATTGATGCCCCCTTTCGAATTAGGGATTTCAATCTCCTTTTCTGAAAACCCGATCCCTAATTCCCAAGCTTTCACCTTTTCGTCATCTCACGTGACCCTCACCTCAATACTCTGCATTTCCGTAACATTACCCCCTCCTTTACCAAACCCTTGTCCCCAAGGGTTAAAATCAGGAAATTTTTTCTGAATAAATTTCTCATCTTCCCAAACTGGTTGGACCATCTCTGAGCCATCCCACTGTATAAGGATCTGGCGTACCATCTCCTTGCCGCGTTTCACTTTCCGTTGGTCCACGGAAGCAAAAGGAGCGATCTTGAAGGTTCCTTTAGAAGTTTGCGCCGACAATGTTTTCGCAGGTATGACTCCTTCCTTGACTTGCCCTTTTAATAACGATACATGGAAAAAGGGATGTATCTGTGACCCCTCAGGTAGCTCTAATTTGTACTCAACTTGACCAATTCTTTCCAATATTTTGTAAGGTCCATAATATCTTGCTGAGAGTTTAAGGTTTCTTCGGAGTTGAACGGAGTTCTGCCTGAAAGGTTGCAGTTTGAGGTAAACCTCATCGCCCACTTCAAATTCCCTCTCTGTTCTGCCTTTGTTTGCATATACCCGCATGCGATTTTGTGCCTGAGAGAGGTTTTCCCTTAGCTGTTGTATCATCTCCCTCCTGTCTTGTATGTATTTGCTTGCCTCTGGGTTGGGAGATTTGGTGTAGGGTTTGAGTGAGAACATAGAGGGCGAGTACCCGTATAGGGCCTGAAATGGTGTGGTCTTTAGAGCTGAATGATAATTGGTATTGTACCAATATTCTGCTAGAGGCAACCATTTGACCCATTGCTTTGGGGTGGCTTGTGTCATGCACCTAAAGTAAGTCTCCATGCATTGATTCAACCTCTCAGTATGCCCATCAGTTTGTGGATGGTAGGCTGAGGACAGACTTAATTTTACCCCCAACATTCTAAAAATTTCCCCCCAAAATTGACTGGTAAATATTTTATCTCTGTCTGTCACTATGCTGAGTGGCAACCCATGAAGTTTATAGATTTGGTCTCGGAAAAGAGTAGCCACAGTTTGGGCTGTGTAGGGATGAGTCAGTGGAATGAAATGCCCAAACTTTGTGAGTCTGTCAATGACAACAAGTATGACACTTTTACCCCCGGACTTAGGTAACCCTTCCACAAAATCCATACGTATGTGGGACCATGGGTACTCTGGTATGGGTAGAGGTTGAAGCAAATGTTGTAAATATTTTTACCGGAGTAGAATCCAAAGATTCAACACCGGGTCGTATCACGAGGAAGGTTAGCCGGATTATTTTATACGAATATTCAATCACACGAAATAATGAAGAAGTCCTAAACACTCTAATTCGATTGGTGTGGTTTACTATTATCAACTACGAATTGAAAAACAAGTAATTAGAAAAACTAGACAGAACTAAGATTCACAAGTTCAAACTCAAATAATTATAAAAGAGCTAGGGTATCGGGGTAAATCAATTCCGGTTTTCAATACACTTAATGAGCAATCAAAAGCTCGGTTAAATGCCTCATAGAACTACTCATCTAGAGATCTATCCTCAATAACTCTTCGTAACAAGAGGATAGACATAAACGAGTAATTCTTGAAACAATCAACACATAAGCAATACTATGACGAACAAGCTTACTCCTAACGAGCCTAGATCGAACGATTTCTCCCTTTTTAGTTATAAAATCGATTAATTAGATTAAGATGGTGATCAAACATCAAAACCCTAGGCTAAGCACAACTCGAGAGGATTGAGCAATTATCATGCATATAAACGAAATTGAACCGGAACGATCTTCCCCTCACCCTAGCTAATGGATTTAGCTACTCATCATGCATTCAGCATCAAAATATTCAATAATCAAAGCCATCTCAATCAAAAGAAAACGAAAGTAAAGCTTACGATTAACGAATCCAATGTCGAGAACACAAATAAACAGAATCCAAAAGTCGAATCTCGGAGTTTTTCTCTCCAAGATCGAATCACAAGATCAAAACCAAGAAAAAGTTTGAGTTTTTGGGTGAAAATCCCTAGAGAATTCGAAACCTCGATCAAAACATGAATGCCCCGTTCAAAATAAAATATGCTGTTTTAAAAATCTGAATTCGCGCGTTCTGCGGCCGCGGACAAGCTCGCAGTCCACGGTGAAGGGATGGTCCGCGGCCGCAACATGTCCCGCGGCTGCGACTTTTCAGCTCTGTACACCAGTGTTGAACTTTTGGGCCTTCCGCGGCCGCGACTTCCTCTCCCGCGGCCGCGGTGAAGAAAACTGGGCGCGCGATTGGGTTTGTTCACCGCGGCCATGGGAACAACGTCGCGGGCCGCGGTGAAGGATTTTTGAGGCATGGCTGTGACTTCCGGACTTGTACCCACGCATCCGGACTTGGAATTGGATCCCGTCTTTTTCTACTCGACCCCAACTCATCCGTCTAGGTATAATCCTCGCATGGCCACTTCCCAACTGAGCTACTTAACCTGCAAACCACCACCGACAAGAAAAAACGCAGAAAACCGAGAAAAAAGAAACAAAAAAAACCAAAAACGAGCAAAATAAAGAAAACACACGACACGACACAAGATGGACCAAGAACAAAAGAAAATAACCTAGAATGGGGAAAAATAAATGCAAAATAAACAAGGAAAACACGACAAAAATGGAACGAACAACTCCCCCACACTAAAACCATTGTTCGTCCCGAACAATAAAAAGAAAAGAAAAAGCAATAAAACAAGCAAAAGAGAGTGGACACCGGTTTCAAACGAGAAAAGTCTCAAATTGATCAACTAGGTTAAAAAGAATTCCAATGATCTCGAGAACACACCTTGACAATGAACTCAATCACATGATAACACAAACTCTGTAGTACGGAGATATGATATAATGCCTCACACATTTTTTTGCAAAAATAAAAGATGGAGCACTCAAATTGGTCGTCAGTCAAATCGATCATACGCTTGCCTATCATCTTACCACTACTCTAAATCAATCAAATCAATGAGACAGTGAATCAAAAGGGCTTTTATGGACGTAATGTAGGTTGAACGGGTTAGGTAGGATAAATATAGGTCAAAATGGCTCAAATATAGAATATATCAAAACTCATCACTTCAACCATAATCAACAACTCCTCCGGTTCCTCCAACCTTCACCAAGGTCAACACACTTCCACATTATTATCATTTTTTTTTAAACCTTATGGACATCTTATCTAGGTTTAGCCATCGGGTTTTCTGCCCGAGTCTCCTAGACCGGTTTCCCGTACTCATTGCTCGTGACCGGTAATTGAACG